ATGTGTATATCAAACTTTATTTCAAAATAAATATTTGTAAATACTTTGGATTATTAAAAAAAAAATCTTTTTGCCTTCAAATTTCGCTGTTTTTTTTTTTTTTTTTTGGAAAAACAACGCGACTTTTCATTTAATTTTTCTTTTGTTTATTTAAAGAACTTAATTTCATTTTAGCTATTAACAATCATAATAATAAGAAAAGAGAATGAACAGAGAGTTTTCATAAAAAAATGACTGCAAAATATTATTCTAAAGATAATCTCTTTAAAAAGGAGGTCCTTGCCTAATATGACATAAGGTACGTGTGTTTATAATGCAAATATTGTATATGATTTAGTTATCCTGATTATGGGTTTATGTTCTCATACTGTGTCCCTGGTCACAATTTCCATGTTTTTTTTTTCAATTCAAAAATGTTCTTAAAAAAAAAAAAAAATGTAAAGAACCATGATCAGTTCATGAAATTTATTTAACATTAGATTATCCTTAATTTAAATCCCAGAATAAATTAAAAATTAAATAAAATTTTATTTCTTTTTAACGTTGTTGTTTCGGTTCTAAGAACTATGGAGTATGCCATGCCATTTACAATAAATGAAATGATGAATTTTAGTTTCTCTTACTCTTCACTTGGGCTTTTTTTTTGAATTTTCATGACCTAAATAATTTATAATGTATGTTAGAATCAGAATGTGGTTTAATCGTAACCATATTTTGAGTATATACGGCTACACTTATAACAGAATTTTAAACATGTAAGGTTTGTATGTGTATGTAAATATTAAATATATGAAAACAAAATTAATTCAGTTATTTATGGTATACCCCAATTTTGTCCCAAACATTTACCGTCTCACCACATCCCCAGCAAAACAGAAAAAACAACAATAAAAATAAGAAGAAAAATTTAAATAATATAATAAAGAACACATAATATACTGGAGAGAGAGAGAGAGAGAGAGAGACGAGATAGAAAGAGAATGTAGAAAATAATAGTCAAATTACATATGGAATTTTTTTTTAATGCTCAATTTTATGTTCATATACAGCATAAAATTTACATTTAAAGTCTAGTATTAATATAATGAAAACTCATGAATTAGTGTTGCCGAGTAGATTTTTTAAACTACATAATTTTGTTAAGAATATTAAAGGAAAACGACTTGCAAAACAAGAAAAGTTGTTCGACTATTTGCAAAAATATTGAAGTGATTCTGTTTTTTTAGAACAGTGTCCCATGCATTTAGATTTTGACAGTTCAATACACATAACACAACACTCTCTCTCTCTTTGACTTAACAGCTAAAATACTGTAAATACTGTTATGAAATTTTCAACGCTATCGAACAGTGCAAAACAGCGGGATGCTGCTTATTGAAGTAAACATAGGCCAACTGCCTCAAAGTATGTAATTAATACAAATTCTTAAATCCAAAATGGTCTGGAAAACGACTCAAATAATTCAAGATTAACTCTCAGTATTTACGAGGATAGTTGGATATGTAGTAAATTTACTGTAAAATATATAAGAACGTTATTTCTTTTTTTTTTAATTTACGTGCATTTTTAATTTTATTGCAAAATTTAAAATCGTCTCTTTTCCTCAGTTCTCTCTTCGCAAATTAATTCATGTTTATATGGGGATCCTTTTAATGAAATTAAAAACAAATTATAAATTTATATTAAAAAAAAAAAGAGAGAAAAAAAGAAGTTAAAAAATCAACAACAAAAGCAGAGAGTCAACAATATAACATTAAAAATATGGTAAGGGTTTTTAAAATGTTGTGATTTTGGATTTTATTTTTATCTCACAATTTTTTTTTTTTTGGGTTGTAAGTACCGTCTCAATGTGATTTCAAGTTGTTATTATAATTCTTATTAAAATGTGGAGGAAAGGTATAACAATGGAGTATTGTTGTAGAAACTTTTTTTTGACATTCTTCCATTTTTGATATTTCTTGTTGACAATGATAACACGAACATTGTCATATCTACGTCAATGGTGCGAGATTTATAGTGGGATATAGATGAGTTTTTAATGATCTGCGAGTGTATATGTGCATGTGTTATGTGTTTACTTTAGAATTTTTAAGCATATACAATATAATTAAGCATTATGGAGGATATTTGGAAGAGTAGCGAAAATAATGTGATTTAAGAAATTTATAACCCTACATACGAGTATATGGCATTATAATTTAGAATATATGAGAGGAAGAGTTGGTTACGAGAGGAATGAAATCATTACTATATCTTGTACAGCTAATATCTGGTCTTTATGATGATGTAGACGAGTTACATGTAATTTTATAAGCTAAATCTTAAAAAAATGCTTTAAATTCCTGAAACTTTTTAAGAATATTTAATTTAAACTAATTACATTTCTTTTAATTTTCTCTTATTATCTAATACACATCAAAATATCTTACTCAAATAGACGTAATTTAGCTAGTGTAACAGAAAATTAATTGTGAAGGCGAAAGTATTTCATATCAATGTTCGGGTAGCTTATTTTTTGTGGCAGACTACAGTCATTTGACTAGGTAAGATAAATAGGCTTTTAAGCATTTAAATGAATAAAAATTTTCTGTGCAAAATCCATCTTGAAGGCCATTTAATTGCACATATTTCGCTCAAACAATATAACAATATTGTATACCACATTAAAATAAAATTATTACGTCATTTTAAATTTTATATACCCGCTAAAATGACGTCTACGGTCTGACACATATTTTATTTTCGCACAACTCTTGTATACTTTTGTAAAATTCATTCAGTTCTTTCTTATTCTTGCATCTTTATTATGGGTTTCCTAATAAGGTTGATATTTTTAAATGGGACGTAGAATTTAATAATGGAAAACTTAATATAAATTTTTAAACTAATTAAAGTTGACCAGTCGATCCCATGTGAGTGTCCTTTTTTTTTCTCGTTATTTTTGAATAAATTTTGTTTTTTCCATGAATTTTAAATTATTGTAACTAAACGCTCTTCCATGGAGCTCTTCCATTAAAAACAAAAAATTTAACTTTAATTTAAAATAAAAAAATTATTTTTAGAATTTAATCTGAAAACTAACAATAATAATAAAAACTGAAGGTTAATGTACTGCTCTACTATTTTTGGATATTCAAAAATTATAAATTCTATATTTATACACGTTGTTATTGTTAATTTATTGTACAAGGATAAAGGATTTATTCAAATATTTGTGTTTGTACAAATTTGGTTATTTTTTATATATTGTGGGTTTACTCTGTGTGTAGGAATCGCATAAACAATTTGATTTCAATTAGAAGTGAGTTTTTATGGTTATATAATTTGGTTGCAATATAATACCGGAAATTGGTTTTCCACACTTAATGGTCTCTACATATACAGCATAGAATGGTGTAACAATGGTTATTATTGATTACATTTTTAATTTTTAATTGTTGACGGAAATATTTAAAATATTAATAAAGGATTGAAATTTTAAAAATTTTAAATTTTACATTTTTCAATATTGTCATGTTGGTCATAAAATGAAATCTGACGTACTCTACCATTTTAAACTCGAAGGTAATTGCAATTAATCTTGAAAATATTCAAATTTTGTAGAATATTGTAGAGCCTAACAAAACGTTAATTGGAGAATCTCTTTTGATTTCATTAATCAAATGAATAATTCGCTAAATTATAGTTTATTAATTAATTCCAAATTGTAGTTATTAATTTTAATGAAAACTGAATACACCAGTTCGTGTATAATATAAAGGATAATTGAACACAAATTATTTGCAAAATATTCCTGGTGCTTGCAAAAGCATTAGAAGAAGCCTAATTTTTTGCACAATTTTTATGATTTTTGGAAAATTTTTACAAAGATTGAATTGAACAAAATTTTAAGAAATTAAATTTTATATTTTGATTATAGGGATTTACTCAATTTAATTGTATCCTTTTGATCTATAATAGAGGATCAAAGAAATCAAAGCAAAAAAAATTTCCCTTTTTTGGAAGATTTCAAATATAATTTCAATTGCTCTTAATTTAAAATTATTGTGTTCATTATTGGAAAAGAAAAATTGAAAAATAATTTCTTGATATTTGGTAGATATTATTCCGGAGTTTCGATGAAATGAACAATTTTCTAATTTCATTTGTGTTACATTTTAGGCTTTTGAATGAGAAATTTGCGAATTTTGTGGTTCCCAAAGAATAAAGGTTACACTTAATTCATTTTTCTTTGTAGGTAATTCTTGAAGTAAATTTTTTGATCAATAAAATGTTCAAAATATTGAGAATTCACTGTAGTTTTACAAATTTAATAATGAGATTTTTTTTTTGTAATCATCACGAATTGATTTTTGAAAAATTTATTTTTATTCTGTAATTTTCTTTGTTGCTAATTTTAGATCAGAGAAAATAAAATTTTGTTTTGGAAAAATTGTAAAAATTAAATTAATTTTAAGGTAAGGGCTATAAAAACATATACATGCGAGCTCATTAGACAAGCATTATTATTATTTTGATTATAAAATGAACCTTTCAATTGATTTTTATTCTTAAAAAAAAATTTTACGTCAATAGATTTTAAAAATTACTGTTCCTTTTCGTAGAGAATAGAAAAGCGACGAGAGTAGAAGCCCCTTCTAGTGCCCCTTCTCATGTTGCCTTGTCAATTTTTTGTTGATTCTCATCTACAATAATATGAGTCTGATTAGTCATTAAAAACATTTCTGGTATGTGTCTGACTCTGATCTTAGTTGCTGTGTTGCAGTCTTAGGGGAATACGTCGTTCCGCCCTTCCCTAGACGTAGCAGAATTTCAATAAATTTTCAGCACAATAAGCTCTATAGTTAACAAAATTTTTTATCTTTACTAAAGTTGTTTTTTTTTTCTAGAGTAACAAGATGCTATAAATTTTATTGATTGCTAAATATTTCAAAACTATTTCCAAATAAATCCAAGACTTTGTTATTAAATATTGTTTTTTTTTTTTAATTTTCTTTCAGATTTTTGTTTCGCACCTCTGTCAAATAAGGAAATAAAGTATTGAACGTCAGATTAACGGTAAGCCAGATTTCAACTATTAATTTTTTTAAATAGCTAAAATGCAAGCCGTCACATAATTTTAAGTACGAAAGTAACGCCTTAATTCAAAACTTGGTTACGCACGCTTACCCACGAGAATTTTGAAATTACTTAAACTGAAAAAGTAAATTCAGGTTGCCGTCATATTTTGTTCGACGCATTGGTTTGATTTGACGCAAGAAATATGGTGATATTATAAAACAGAAACTTCTACCTCATTTCGACAACATGTAGTTGGCTACATTTTTAATTTAAAGAGACTTGCAATGTGCGAATGAGCGGAACAATAATCAACTTTCGCAATTTGAAAAATGTTCAGAACCACTAGAAAAGAATGCAATATGAATGTTCCATGCAATTCCTAATTTACAAAATGTATTATAATTTACAAGAAGACTATTGGGTTTAGTTTTAATAGTTTTGTATTTAAATATCATTTTAATTCTCATAAGACATAAGTAAAGAACAAGAAATTACTTTTATAAACGAAATTATTGAAATGTACGGGAACTTTATTTAAAATGGAAGTGGAAGAGGAATTCTAAAGTATTCTAAAGTTTTATTGACTTTATTCAATTTCTCTACCCTCTTACAAGGATAAAAGAAGTCAACATCCTTTTAATGTATACTTGTTATACGTATTACATACAATTATACGCCTCTATACATTCACATACAATATGCACAAGATATCAACTTATCTGAATGAATGAATTCTGAATTTTGTACGTTTTAAATATTTTTAAGATTTTCTTGTATATTTTTCTTTTTCATTCTTACAATATTTTCGAAAACAATAGATAAATAAGCAGAATAATAATAATAAATTTCAAGAATACAATAACAAGTTGGATAATTTATATATAAGGGACCAGAAAAAATAGAAGAAACAATTTTATATTCACAATATTATTTCAGGGAAAAAAAAAACAAAAATGTCACGCTATTGCTCATTCTCTGACAAAATTATCTGCACACAAACATGTATATACCTATGAAGACGAGGACACCTATGAAGATGAAGATGAAACGTTTATGTGAATAATAAAGTTGAATGTTAAGAGAGATAGAACATGAAAAATCAAGTGAAACGAATTTAATATACAAGTGAGAATCTTATAAGAGAAAACAATATTCTTACATTATTTTCGGAATTGAATTATTCAATCACAATCTCTTTTAATATGAATAATATACACACATATAAACAGAAGCAATATTATTATTCATGCAAGTATTTCTCATTCTTACCTCAATAAATTGGTATTTTACTTTTATCTACACTGTTGGTAGCAATTTGTTATTATAACTGTTATAAAACACAATACTCTTGTTATGTCTTCTTCAAACGTAATGCACATCACAACAATTATTATTCTCTCTCTCTCTTTTGTAGTTCACATATTGTTTCTCATTTCATTGTCATTTCATACCATACTTTTTTCTTTGCTTTTTATATAAGATTGCAATTTATTATTACAAGAAAACAAAAGAAAATTTGAAATGAGAAAAATATACTGTCATTGTGGAAGACGCTATTATTATGTAAGTGTGAAGTGAACAAAAAAAAAATAGTAAAAATCCATAAATTTAATATTGCAAGAATTTTTCCGTATTGTCTTATACAGGTATGTAAAAAAAAGAGAACATTAAATTTTGCAATTACTAAAAGATTGATTGAAAGAGTTTTCTTTTCATTAGCTAGTTCTTCATAGAAATTGGACTTAAAATTAAAGTTCACTTGTTGTTGGAGTATATTGTGAATGGTTTTTACGTGTATGATTTAAGAGAAATGAAAGCGATGACAGCTGACAAGTATTTTAAGAACTATTTGTAAAAGATAATTTATTCAAATTTTTAAATCACATTTTCCATCTTATTTAGCGGCATTTTAAGGCTGGATTCTTGTCAAGTCTAAGATGTCAAAAAGTCAATAAACAAATTTTTTGTGATAGAACATATGACTTTGACTTACTACTGTCAAACTTGACATTACAGAATGTTTGCTTTTGCATTGAATGAAGTCATTTTTCTTTTTAATTGAAATTTGAGTTAAATTTTGAAATACAAAAAAAATTAAGGTTAAATTAACAATTTGCTCTTAAATGTCATCAGTGACAAATGTTTTCATATCCATTTGGTTTTTTTAAAGAAAATTTTCTACAATTTTTGGGTTTCATCTTTTGAATATCATAAGATATAAATATTTTGCTTGTATTTTATGAGCGGAAAATTTTATCAACAAGGCGTTATTGTTATAGATTTAGTTAATTATTTCGGTTGCCATACCTATTGAATAAGAGTCAAGGATCTTTATCAATTTTTCATTTTCTTGCTCTAAAATGGGCAACATACTTTTTTCGATTTTGTCAAATTTCCTTTCGATTCTGTGAAATTATTTTCTATTCTGCCAAATTCTTTTCGATTCTATCAAATTCTTTTCGATTCTGTTAAATTCTTTTAGATTCTGTGAAATTTTTTTCGATTTTGTTGAATTCTTTTCGAAGCTTTTCGATTCCGTAAATTTTTTTTACGAATTTGTTAAATTAATTTTGATTCTGTCGAATTATTTTCGGCTCTGCCAAATTTTCTTCGATTCTATCGAATTCTTTTCGATTCTGTTAAATATTTTTTCAATTCTGTGAAATTATTTTCAAATCTGTCATTTTTCTTTTATTAATCCACCATTTATTTTTATTGACACTTAAAATTTAAAAATTAAATTACTTAATAAAATTATTGTCCAATATTAATATTGCCCTAAAATTTTTTTTTAATAAATAATTTTATACAAATATTCTCTTAAACCTTTCAATAAATTTAAGAGTTATAATGTTTTTCTCTTTTCAATTACTTGGTAGAAATCAAAATTTAAGCGATTATAAATTTTGTAGTCTTTATGCTTGAAAAACTTTTTGATAATAATTTGTGAAACAAACATTTTTTAAACTTATTGTTAAAGACTGGTTGAAAAATTGTTTTTTTTTTTTGCTCTCTTGTTTTTTATTTTAGTTTTTATAAGATTTACTCTTTAAAATTGATGTTAAGTTACTAAACATGCAAAACTTTTACTTCTTTTATCAAAAACAAAAAAAAAAATAGAAATTGTTGACTCTCCCCCCTTTCCCACTATAACCCGCCCCACTTCAATTTGTGAACAAAAAAAAATGTTCTGCCCTTTCAAGCGTTATCAACAACGAAAGAACAACAAAAATAACAGTAAAAATAACAAAAAATTTCTTTTATTTTTCTTTTAGCTTAACATTCGTTCTATTTTTACTTGAACTACAGATGCAATACGGAAATAGCCAGAAAAATTAAAAAAAAAAAACGTAAGAATAAAATTTCGTGCTGAAAGCAAAAATTTTTACCATTTTTTCTGATTTTTTTTGAAACAAGAAAGATGAAAAGGCTCTTGCTTTTTCTCTTCTTCTCATACCAAAAAAAAAAACAAAATCTAAAATGCTGCGATTCTTTATTAGAATATTAATTGGAAAAAAAAGTTTTCTTCATTTTATTTGTTCATGGAAAAAGAAAGAACAAAATACAAAAAATATAAAAAAAGAATAGGAGACGAGAACAGTTTTGTGTCCTGAAAAGTCCTGCGAATGTCAAATTTATTTTTTGGTAGCGCAATGTTTTATTGTTACTTATTATTCCCCCCCCCCCCCCCCCCCCCCCCCTCTCTCTTCCTTTCAACAAAAACTGTGTTGTCGATTGATGTGAATTTCATAATAATTATTAAAATGTCAAATGAATTTTCTGTCTTGTTTTTGTTTTGCTGTTTTTTTTTTTTTTTTGGGAAACAAGGCAAAAAATGGACAGGAAGTATAAATAATCTTAAAAAAATTTATGAATCAATAACGGTATACTATATACTTACACAATTCAAAAGGAGACTGGAGTTATGTACTTGGATATACTTACATTCGCATATACATGTATACTATTTGAATAATTTTATTTACGGCTGAACGACGGACAAAATATTAAAATTTTTAACCTGTCATCATTTCTTTTTGTAGCTAAATTTGTATTGAAAATCAAAGAGTCTTTGTTAGAGGAATTCATAAAAAATGATTTTTGATAGAAAAAAAAAAATTATTATTGGGAATAATTAATTTGAAAAATTTTTTGAATAAAATTATTTTAGTCTATGAATTTATTAAATTTTTAATCTAAATTGACGTATTGAAAATAAATTTAGACATTGAATGCTTTTGTAGTTGGCTGGAGCACAATTTACATGAAATATTATTGAAATAAAAAATTCCTCTGTCTGGAACACAATTTTTAAGGAGAATCATTAAAATGAGAAAAATGCGTCTGTCTGGAACGCATTGCAAAAGAAAAATCGTTAAAATGAAAAAAATACGTCTGGCTGGAGCGCGATTTTTAAGAAAAACCGTTAAAATGAGAAAAATGTGTCTGTCTGGAACGCAATTTTTAAGAAAAATCGTTAAAATGGAAAATTGCGTCTGTCTGGAACGCAATTTATAAGAAAAATCATTAAAATGAGAAAATTGCGTCTATTTGGAACGCAATTTTTAAGCAGAATCGTTAAAATGTGCAAAATGCGTCTGTCTGGAACGCAATGCATAAGAACAATTGTTAATATATCAAATTGTTGAAAAGTTTTAAGATAAGGATAAGCCTGGAATTTTCATAATTAACGTAAGAATTGCAACATCATTCATTACCACAGTTCTTTATTTAATAAAATCCAAATTTCAATTTAATTTTTTTTTCTCATATCATGCATTTTTCACGAGTTGCTTTAAAAATATTCCGTTTTTCATCTATTTTATGGTTTATACCAAATTGTCTTAATATTTATTAAAGTCAAAGGATATTTTTAACTAAAAATGGTAACATGATAACAGCAATATACAAACAATAAAATAATTTTATTAAAATTCTTCTTTCGAATTGTAAAAAGGATCACATTACAAAAATCTTTAATACTAAACAAAAAAAAT